AGGTACTGCGTCGGCTCCGGCCTCCCACACCTTCACTCTCGACTCGGGGGCTTCTCACTCCTTCTTTCGAGACCGCACCACACTCACGCCGCTTGGTCGGCCAGTTGCAGTCTCTCTGGCAGACCCCTCTGGGGGTCCTGTCCTTGCTCACTTCTCCACTGTCCTCCCGTGTCCGGCGGCCCCCTCTCGCACCCTGTCTGGTCTTTACCTCCCCTCGTTCTCTACGAACTTGGTGAGTGGTGCTGACCTACAGGATGCGGGGGTTCACCAGTTCACTCCTGCGAGCCAGCGTGTGACCCACTGCACGGACGCTCGGACGGGCCGACACTTGGCCACGTTTACACGTCGGCCGGGGTCGAGCCTGTACACACTGACCACTGAGTCTCCTCCAGTCACTGCGTCTGGTCAGGCAGCTGCGTCGGGTCAGGTGTTTGCTGCAGCGTCCAGGTCTGGTCCTGAGTCTGCCCCCTGCTCGTGTCGCCTCCTGTCTCACGAGACTCTCCTCTGGCACCACCGCCTTGGTCACCCCTCCCTGCCTCGTCTCCGAGGCATGGCCTCCCGTGTCCTTGTCTCTGGTCTTCCCCGGTCCCTCCCTCCCCTTCCTCCGGGGCCTGCCCCTACCTGCGTCCCCTGTGTCGAGGGGCGGCAGCGTGCTGCCCCTCACTCCTCCCAGTTTCCTCCGACAGAGGCCCCACTGCAGACGCTTCACATGGACGTGTGGGGCCCGGCCCGCGTCCGTGGACAGGGTCACGAGCGCTACTTCCTGCTGGTGGTTGACGACTACTCGCGTTACACCACAGTCTTCCCCTTGCGCAGCAAGGGTGATGTCACTGAGGTGTTGATCGACTGGATCCGCGCAGCTCGTCTCCAGCTCAGAGAGAGTTTCGGCTCGGACTTTCCTGTTCTGCGTCTGCACTCTGACAGAGGCGGAGAGTTCTCCTCTGGCCTTCTGCGAGCCTACTGTCGTGCACGAGGCATCCGCCAGACCTTCACGCTTCCGGACTCTCCACAGCAAAATGGGATTGCTGAGCGCCGCATTGGCATGGTCATGGACGTCGCCCGTACGTCCATGATGCATGCGGCTGCCCCCCATTTTCTGTGGCCGTTTGCGGTTCGGTACGCGGCGCATCAGATCAACCTTCAGCCCAGGGTCTCCATGCCGGAGACCTCCCCAGCTTTGCTGTGGACGGGGAAGGTTGGCGATGCGTCTGCGTTCCGTGTCTGGGGATCTCGAGCGTTTGTCCGCGACTTGTCTGCGGACAAGCTGTCCCCTCGTGCTGCTCCCTGCGTCTTCCTTGGCTTCCCCCCTGACGCGCCAGGGTGGCAGTTCTACCACCCCACCTCTCGCCGTGTCTTGTCCTCCCAGGACGTCACGTTTGACGAGTCGGTCCCCTACTACCGTCTCTTCCCCTACCGCACTCCGTCCCTCCCCCCGCCTCCGCTCTTCCTTGTGCCAGGTCCCCCCCCGGTAGACCCCCTTCCCCCTCAGGGTCCTGCCCCTTCAGGTGTGTCCCAGGTAGACGCAGTCGAGCCTGTGGAGGTCGCTGGTGACTCTGGTGCTGCTGGGGGTGCTGAGCCTGGGGGTGCTGACTCTGGGGGTGCTGAGCGTGTGGGTGCTACGCCTGGGGGTGCTGAGCCTGGGGGTGCTGAGCCTGAGGGTGCTACGACTGGGGGTGCTGAGCCTGGGGGTGCTGAGCCTGGGGGTGCTACGACTGGGGGTGCTGAGCCTGGGGTTGCTACGCCTGGAGGTGCTGAGCCCGGGGGTGCGGAGCCTGAGGGAGCTGGGCCTGCTCGTGTGGCGTCTGGCGGTGCTGGGCCTGGAGGTTCTCTGGGTGCTCCGTCTCGACGGGAGCCACTCTCTCCACAGGAGGTGCGTGAGTGGTTTGCCCGACGCTGGAGGCGTGCTGCTGGAGCTGGAGGTTCTTCGGCTGCTGAGGGTGCTGGTGCCACGGGTCCCGGAGGTGCTCGTACTGGGAGTACTGGAGCTGCTGGGCCTGCGGGTACTACTGGAGCTGGAGCTACTGAGGGTGTTGGCGCTGAGGGTACTGCTGGCGGTACTGGAGGCGGTCCTGCTGGGGGTGCTACTGGTGCTGCTGGAGGTCCTGGAGCTACTGGAGCTGCTGGGGGTACTGGAGCTGGAGGTGCTGCTGGCGCTGGTGCTACCACTGGGGGTACTGGTGCTGTCCCTGCTGTGTCTGGAGTCGTTGCGCGGCCTCGGCCGTACTTCGTTCCGCTTCTTGAGCAGGTTCTTGGTCTCCCGCCTTCTACAGGTCCTCCTCCTCCCTTAGAGTGTCCACAGCCTGTCCTGTCACAGTTACAGTTACAGCCGGCCTCCCCACTGCCTGCTCCTTCTCCCTACACTGGTCCTACTGGAGGTCTTGCTGAGCGTCGTGAGCCTGCGTCTCGTCCTGCGTCGCCTGTCCGTGCTGCTCGCGCTAGTGGTTGTGGTTCGCGTCAGCGTCCTCCCCCTGTGCCCGGCACGCACCGGATGTCTCTGCGTCCGTCCACTGCTCCTCTGCGTGCCCCTTTGCCTTCTCCTCCTGAGTCCTCTCTTCCTGCTCTTGCTGACCCGGAGTCGGACTCCCTTCGTGCTGCCAGTCCGACTGTCACGCGTCTCCTTGCTACTGTTGTCACTGACCCTTCCTTTGAGTCCACTACTGCGTCTTCCCTAGTTGCTGAGCTCGTCGACTTTGCTGCTCGCTGTCGTCTAGACTACGCTGCTAGTCTTGTTGCTGCGTCTGAGTCTGTCTGTCCTCCGTCCGTCGGGGGTGAGTGTGCCCTTGGCACGGACGTCCTTGAGGACAGGCAGGAGGAGTTCCAGTGCTTTGCTGCTGCTTCACCTCATCTCGTGTCCATGCTGCTTGCCCCTGAGGGAGACCCGGATGCACCTGACATCCCGACTCCGCGCTCTTACGCGGAGGCGATAGAGGGTCCCTACTCCTCTCAGTGGCAGGCAGCTATGGACGCAGAGATGGCTTCCTGGAAGTCCACAGGCACCTACGTTGACGAGGTTCCCCCGCCTGGGGCGAACATCGTCAGTGGCATGTGGATTTTCAGGGTGAAGCGGCCGCCGGGTTCTCCGCCTGTCTTCAAGGCGCGTTACGTGGCTCGTGGCTTCAGTCAGCGGCAGGGAGTTGACTACTTTCAGACCTTCTCTCCCACCCCGAAGATGACCACTCTTCGGGTACTGCTGCACATAGCTGCTCACCGTGACTACGAGCTACACTCTCTTGACTTCAGCACTGCTTTCTTGCAGGGCAGCCTGCACGAGGAGATCTGGCTGCGCCGCCCACTTGGCTTCACTGGGACTTTTCCTCCTGGCACCCAGTGGAGCCTCCGGCGGCCAGTCTACGGTCTCCGCCAGGCACCGCGTGAGTGGCACGACACACTGAGGACTACGCTTGCGGCTCTTGGGTTTGCTCCCTCTACTGCCGACCCGTCGCTGTTTCTGCGCACCGACACTTCTTTGCCGCCGTTCTACATCCTCGTGTACGTCGACGACTTGGTCTTTGCCACAGCTGACACTGCTGGACTCGCCCACGTGAAGTCCGAGCTGCAGAAGAGACACACGTGCACAGACCTGGGTGAACTGCGCAGCTACCTTGGCTTGCAGATCACCCGGGACAGAGCACGCCGCACCATTACCTTGACTCAGTCACACATGGTGCAGCAGGTCCTTCTGCGCTTCGGCTTCACGTACTCCTCGCCTCAGGCCACTCCTCTGCCTACTCGCCACTCGCTCTCAGCTCTGCCTTCGGATGAGTCCGTAGAGTCGAGTGGCCCGTACCCAGAGCTTGTTGGCTGCCTCATGTACCTGATGACCTGCACTCGACCTGACCTTGCATACCCTCTTAGCATTCTCGCACGCTATGTTGCTCCTGGGAGACACAGACCGGAGCACATGGCTGCAGCGAAGAGGGTGTTGCGCTACTTGTGCAGTACGTCGGGCATGGGGCTTGTGCTTGGAGGGCAGAGTCCAGTGGTCCTCACTGGGCACGCAGACGCTTCTTGGGCTGACGACCAGGCTACGCAGCGGTCGTCACAGGGTTACACCTTCAGCCTTGGTTCCGGCTCTGTCTCGTGGCGGGCTACCCGCTCGTCTTCTGTTCTCGGCTCCAGTTGTGAGGCTGAGATCTACGCAGGGGCCATGGCTGCACAGGAGCTTCGCTGGCTCACCTACCTGCTGACTGACCTCGGAGAGCCGCCTCGTTCTCCTCCAGTGCTGTACGTAGACAACAAGGCCATGCTGGCCTTGTGTCGGGAGCAGAGACTGGAGCACAGAACGAAGCACATTGCTCTTCGCTACTTCCTTGCTCGTGAGCTACAGCAGCGTGGTCAGCTACGCCTTGCGTACGTGGCCTCTCAGGCCAACACTGCTGATATCTTCACCAAGGCACTTGCGCCTTGTGATCATCAGCGCTTCTGTACTCAGCTGGGTCTTGTGCCTACCTTGCCTCACTTGCTCACCCCTTGACCTTGTTTGTACTGTTACATATATACATACACCTGCTCTTGCTTGTTTAGCCTTATATAAATATGTAATCCTGCATGTGAACTGGCCTTGTGGCCTTGAACTTGTGCTCGGAATGTGTGGTGACGTTGTGATCCACCCTGAGCTTGCTTTGCTTTGCTTGACTGGTCTTGTGACCCCTTGTCCTCCCCACTTTGCCTATGGGGGTGTGTCAGATTTATATGACTTAGCTGCTGTAGGCTATAGTGGGGTAGCACATATGGGGTATAGCTTTCTAGGGTTTGTACTTGTACCCAACTTTCCCTTAGTCTTTTCATTCCTCGTTCATTTTCACAAGGGTATTGTAGCGTATGAATTTTATTTTCATATTTTAATAAATATGAAAATAAAATTTGGCAAAATCGATCGTAAAGGGTTGCTTCTCAACCCAAAAAAAAAAAAAGTGAAACGAACAGAATGACTTGTTTTCCACCAATTCTTCAGTCCCCATATTTCAGTCCCCATGTTTCACTCCCAATGTTTCAGCCCAATGTTTCAGTCCCAAAGTTTCAGTCCCAACCCGATTCGTCCAGACCTTGTTCCATACACCCCCCAATCCACTACGCCTCCCTCCGTTATCCTGCCACCTGTCTGTCCATCTTTCCACATGTTCACCAGGTCCAGGTGATTTTTACTGGTCCTTACCGCCGTTTGTCCTATCTGACGGACTATAGGATATTCCAGACACGGGGCCGCAGATCACAACAATCCTAGCCTCCTCGTCGCTGGCTTAGGGCTGGCTTGGGTCACGCTGTCGGCGCATTACTCTCCGCCCCGCATACCCTTTCCGCTCTGTCACATGCCCCGCGCGCCATGAAGCGCGGCAGGCAGGGGTCCGCGCTCCCCCCCTGGCTCGCGTATCGCCTCTCTCAACTCGTTCCTCCCGGCTCGTTCCTTCACTCCTCTTACCACAGGCTACGACAAAACCTCGCCTCCTCGCGCCGCTCCCAGGCCGCCGCCGTCTCCGTCCTCGCTATAGTCATCCTTTTTATCATTGTCGCCCTGCTGCGATCCCGCCCCCCCGCCGACACCCGGCCGATCGAGGAGCGCGAGAACTGGCGAACAGAGGCGAACCGCGCGTGTCTGCGGAAAAAGGAATGGCGGCGTCCGCTGTGTTGGCGCACGGAGGGCATCGTGTGGCACGTGCGCCAGTTCGAAATCTGGAAAGTCGTCGCGTGGGAGGCGGCAACCACCGCCGCCGCTGACGCTGCTGCTGACTCAGAAACAGCCTCCGGAACCGGCGGCGGCGGAAGCGGCGAAACCGGTGGAGAATCAGCAACAGCGGGTTCAGCATCAACGGCTGTAGCGGGATCGGCTGTAGCGGGCGTGCTGCCGTCGTCAGCCGTGACCGTCCCGATGAGCCAGATCGACCTGGGGATCCTCAAGAGCCCCGCGCTCGCCGCCAAATGGACGGCCGGCACGAAGCCGGCGCCGGACGGGCTGCTGCACGTGCTGGTGGACCAGTTCCCGTGCGCCGCGCACGGCTGCTGCGCCATCCACTGGCAGCTGCGACCTAATTCCACCGACCTGCTCTCGCTAGGGAACCACTTTGTGCGCTTCGAGTACTCCGCGCTGCTTAAGATTCCGATCGAGCCGAGGTATATTTTAGACGCGGGCGGGACGGGGATGGCGGCGCTGGCGTTCGCGCTGCTGTACCCCGACGCGCTGGTGGTGCGCGTGGAGCCCGAGGCGGAGAACTTCCGCGTGGGGGTGGTGAGCAGCGCGCGCGTGGGGAACATCGTGCACGTGCGCGCCGCGCTCTGGGACCGCATCGCGCCGCTCTCTCTGTGCGAATCGCAGTCGGAGCTGCCCGGCGATGCTGACTGGCCGTTTGCAAATTCGAGCCGGCAGTTAGGGTTTGTGACAGAGGAAGGCGGGGAAAGCGGAGGCGGAGGGGGAGGGGGTGGCGGAGCGGGGAGTGGCAAGAAGAAGAGGGTGAAGGAAGCGAAGCGGACAAGGTACCAGGAAAGTCTGGTGGGAGCCGGGCCGACATGTGAAGGCAGGGTGAGAGGGCACGTGCAGGGGAGTACACTCACAGCAATCATGGCAGCGTACGGAATCCCGAGATTTGATCTGGTGAAGATGGATATCGAGGGGGCGGAGCGGAGGGTGTTTGCGCACAAGCCGTCGCTGAGGGTGCTGCGCGGTGTGCAGGTGTTTATAGGCGAGTTGCATGAAGGGGGGGGCGTGTGCGAGGGTTGCAAAGGAACGGTGCTGCGGAATTTTGAGCGGTGGGGAGGGTTTAAGAAGTTTGTGGATGGGCGGAATGTGTTGATGCTGAGTCGAGACCTGTTCTCGTGCTAGCAGGAAGCAGGAGGACTTGGTCTTACCAAGGAGTTTGAAGATATTTTTGAATGCTGCAACCAGACGTGGTCTCATACGGTATTGAGACCAAGCCAACTAAAGCTGAACCCAATCGGAAGCAACTCACTCCTGCTAGTACTGGCAGACAGCAGATTGCTACTGAAGCAGCTCACAGTTTGAATCACAGAATGCTCAGTTCAGAGGCTTGATTTGGTGCCTTGTAGTTACGGTACAACATTTGCTCATGAAGATGCCACAACCAAGGCATGAGACAGGCAGCCTAGGTATGTTGCCAACATTGAACTGTAGAAATTGGAGGCAGCATGGCTGACAGCCAAGCAAGTGACAGCTGCATTGCATTGACTTGACGGACGTCGATATCAGACCAGTTGGTCTGATGGTCTGAAAATCAGACTCACTTTTAGTACGGTAGTTCATCAGAATTCAAGACAATGATTAAATATTCATCTGAAAAGCAGGCCCCTAGATTCGTTTTGAGGTACGGTAGTCTGAGGCCTCAAGAGTACACCCCTCTTCCTAGTCTGGCAGTCAGAGTGACCCGTTTTTTTTAGTCTGAGTTCAGAGTACACATGCATTTCAACGCTGATCATACAGAGTAACAGTCAATTTTCCGGCATATATGAAAACACTTCAGTCAGTAAACCTTTTACATTTCTTCTTGATAGTCTGACAGAGATACTATAGGGGCACGTTCTACTACTGTCTCGTCTACAGGCTCCTTCCCAGCCCTAGAGGAGGGCTCCTCCCTGTGCCTTGCAGCAGGTGCTGTGACCGGCCGGCGCTTCTTGTAGCTGCGCCATATCTCTACTACTCCTGGGACATCTAGCTCGTAGTCTATGAGTGAAATACAGAGCAGATCACTCAGCCTACAATCCTTTATGCTGCCCCTCTGCCACGTTTTGATGAGATTCTGTCGGGAGAATCCTCGCTCACCAGGCCCTCAGATTGGTTTGAGGGTATGCTGATGGATCAGCGTGCCCCGGCCAACGAGGTGTCCAAATCAGCGTTCACGGTTTTTTTTATACTGATTTTGCCAGTGTAAAAATCATAAGTAAACTGAACCAACAGTGTAATAACAAAAAACTATAGCTGAAACCCCAGTACAAGGTGTGTGGTGTTGTTGCTGTGATAGGTTCCAGCGAGGCTAAACACTTCGGCGCGCACCTGATATCTGTGCAGTGCATGCGAAAAAATGCCAAGTGTGTGGGTGGGGTCTCAGGAATCACGGGAAGGTACAGATTGTACATGCGTACCCTATCACCCCCCCCCCCCCCCCCCCCCCCACACGCGGTCAACTCCGTTTCAGTGTGACTCACGTCACTATACTGATTCGTCAGTGTTTCTTGTAAAGAAACACGCAAAATGGTCAGTGTGACAAGGTAGTATATACTGAAATTTCAGTGCAAAATTGAAGCATATGCTGAATTTTCAGGGAAAACGAAAATCACAGCTACAAAATCAGCGTAATCAGCGTGTTTTACGCTGATATCTGAGGGCCTGTCGCTCACACTCGACCGTGCTGAGAGGCAGCACTGCAATCGCCACCCACAGTCCGACGAGGTTGGGGTACGCATGCTGCCAGTCGGGTGTCTTGAGAATCGCGGTAAGTCCGGTGTGGTACTTGCGCTCGCTCTTCGGAGCTCTGGCAAGGACTGGACACAGTGTGCGCAGCTCCCTCACGGCTTTCTTCTTGTCAATGCCTGCAAGGTAAAACAGCACACGGGTTTACTAAACGAGCCGTTGTCAAAGGGGGAACGGGCAGGGCTGACGTTTCATATTAGGCCTCCCTGATTCCGGGGAAATTTTTTCCCCTCTATTATGAGTGCACATTTTTCAGAATAATGCTACTCTGATTGCTCAGGGTTGAAAAGTATATAACTCTGATTGTTCAGTGTCGAAAATCGAGGATCAGAGTAGTAACGCGCCCTTTGTTACAGGGGAAAAAGTCTCCCTCTGCGTAAAGTTTGCGCTCTGTGTTTCGCGCACACTTTGAGCGCGCTAAGTTCCACCCTTTTAGTGTTACGAAATGGTATTTATGCACACGTTTTAGTGGGGGGAAGAGATGAGCGATTTCGCTCAACCAAACATTTCGATTCGATACCTGAATGTGGCCAACATCGCTGTGCGAAACGCAAAATAGGTTCTGGAAACTTTACGCACACGCACTTACGACAGTGGAACAACTTATTCACATGTCGTGAAAATAACAAACATCGAGTGTACTCGCCTGTCAGACATGCTGCTGTCCATCGCTCACGCGCTGGCTGTACTGCGATCAAACCGAAGGGGGATATCGGAAAGAAATTTCCAAGAACCTTCCTCTCGATAAGGTCAAAATCAGGGACCACAGATTCGATACCCTATTAAGTCAGGGTCCACTAATAGGCTAGTCTGTTACACTATACTCAAAATCAGGGATAGGAAAACTACTACTCTGATTTGAACAGGGTTGAGAACTCAGTAATTCTGAAATCTCAGTCTCCGCAAAGTGGAAAGTCTGAAATCACCCTGAAATCAGGGTAATTACCCTGATAAAATCAGCCCTGGGAACGGGGCGGGGTGACACAAAAACATACCAGGTAGGATCTCGTCGGCTTCATCTGCGAGAAACAATGTGACAAGCGACAACAGCCACTCCAGGCACTGTGCCCGCCGTGCATCCCGGTCCCAGTGCGGTTGCCACATCTTTGGAATAAACAGCCTCACTCCGGAAAGAGAGTCAAGGTCGCCGAGCTTGGACTGGAGGTTCTCGACGACGAGCTCGGCCATGTCGGTGCAGAGTGCAACGCAGGCGTGGTGATGACCTGGCCCACGATAGCTCGGGTTGGTGCGCTCGTGAAGTTTTACCTTGAAGCGGTTCATACTGCCGTCGGACGATGCTCCTTCCACCACCATTTCTGGTGACCCACTCGGACCATGCTTCTCAATGAAGCGGTAGAGCCTCTCGGTCTGCCCCCCGCCGAAGTCATCTCCACAGTCGATGTACCGGGCCTCCAAGATCGATGTGGTGCGCACAATCTGCGTGTGCACCAGCGCGTAGTCGAGCTGCATCACAAACATTCAACAAAATTCAGTACAAAGGGTTTTGTACTAGAACCACCACAAGCAACACCCTGTAAGTCACTTACCTCACGCTTCTGGAAAACCGAGGAGAGGACGTTGAGCTGCTCCAGCATATCCGCGAGGAACCTGATGAGGATCTGGAACCTGTACGACGTGACGAGTTCGTACATGGTCTGGTCCTTCCACTCCGACAACATCACCATGATGGCAGGTAGGACTTGGACGAAGCGGGCGACTGCAGCTCCTCTGGACAGCCACCGCACGTCGTGTATGCCTTGGACCTCGAGGTTGGTGGACGTGAACACCTCCTGGAGCTCCATGAAGCGCTGATGCCACAGCCCCGATCGCCCGAGGTACTCTGCGACGGCGCGGATCACGTCGTGAACCATGTTGAAGGTTGGTATCGCCTCCGCTGCGGCTTTGGCAGCTAAGGCCTCCCTGCCAAACAAAACCACACATACACAGTTAGAGATTAATAAAGTTCTTCACTGACGTTTACGCATCGCATTAAAACACAAACGCACCGGTGAGCAATGCAGTGAAACGAGACCAGGTTGGGGATGAGCTGACGCAGACGAGCAACCACACCGTTTTGACTCCCCACCATCACAGAGGTGCCATCCGTGCTCACTCCCGAGTTACGTCGGAGGTCAACGCCGACAGCCCTGAGGTGGGAAAGCAACAAACTGCACAAAGATGCAGCGTCAGCCCTCTCAACCGTCAAATGCGCGACGAACTCAGTGACAACTTGGCCATGCGGAGAAACGTGGCAAACACAATCATGTCTTTGCCGCGCCGACGGTCGGTGCTCTCGTCCAGTGTTATCCCGATGAAAGGGCTCAGGAGAAGGTGCTCCAGTTGCGTTGTTTGGAGCCACGTCGAAATTGCTTGAGTGAGCTCTCCAAATCCGTACCTACACAAGAAAAACGAAGTCGTTAGCGACGGTCAACGAGAAAAAATGTCATAAACCCTAAACCCTTACGTATTATAGTATGTGCCGTAGCCCTGCTCAGGAAATCCGGGCACCTTCTTATTCGCCAGGTAGCGCACCAGCTGTCGAACTTATATGCTATAGTCTTTCTAGGCTGTAGTGGGGTAGAAAGTATGGGGTACAGCTTTCTAGGGTTTCATATTTGTACCCAACTCATTTCCTGAGAAACTTAGAACGAGAATGAATTGACTAAGGAATGAAAGTGATACAAATATGAAACCCTAGAATTGTGTACCCCTTAGTATCTAACCCGCTACAGCCTACACAGGCTAGATCATATAAGTTTGACACACCCCCATAGGCAAAGTGGGGGAGAACAAGGGGTCACAAGACCAGTCAAGCAAAGCAAGGCAAAGCAAGCTCAGGGTGGATCACAACGTCACCACACATTCTGAGCACAAGTTCAAGGCCACAAGGCCAGTTCACATGCATGAGTACACACATATATATAACGCTAAACAAGCAAGAGCAGGTATATATATATGTAACAGTACAAGCAAGGTCAAGAAGTGAGCAAGTGAGGCAAGGTAGGTACAAGACCTAACAGAGTACAGAAGCGCTGATGGTCACAAGGCGCAAGTGCCTTGGTGAAGATATCAGCAGTGTTGGCCTCAGAGGCCACGTAAGCAAGGCGCAGCTGACCGCGCTGCTGAAGCTCACGAGCAAGGAAGTAGCGAAGAGCGATGTGCTTCGTTCTGTGCTCCAGTCTGTGCTCCCGACACAAGGCCAGCATAGCCTTGTTGTCTACGTACAGAACTGGAGGAGAACGAGGCGGCTCTCCTAGGTCAGTCAGCAGGTAGGTGAGCCACCGTAGCTCCTGTGCAGCCATGGCCCCTGCGTAGATCTCAGCCTCACAACTGGAGCCGAGAACAGAAGACGAGCGGGTAGACCGCCACGAAACAGAGCCGGAACCAAGGCTGAAGGT